ACAAAGCCTGAGCCGCCCGCTGTGATAGTGGGAGGCGAGGGCTGGCGACAACAAAGAGGACAAAGCCTAAGCCGCCCGCTGTGATAGTGGGAGGCGAGGGCTGGCAACAACAAAGAGGACAAAGCCTAAGCCGCCCGCTGTGATAGTGGGAGGCGAGGGCTGGCAACAACAAAGACGACAAAGCCTAAGCCGCCCGCTGTGATAGTGGGAGGCGCGGGCTGGCAACAACAAAGAGGACAAAGCCTGAGCCGCCCGCTGTGATAGTGGGAGGCGAGGGCTGGCGATGACAGCGCTCGAGGAGGCATGCCAAATTTCAGGTTTTTCGGCAAAGGCGCGAAGAATTGTATTTCCTGAGGCCCTAACCCCTTTGATATGTATTCTCGATTGCTCCTCATGCCCCAGGAACTTATCCAGATAAAATCTTGGGGATAAAGCCTCGCCATGTATGTCCAACCCTTCATCTTTTTGTCGGATGACCAGTCACCTTCCCCATGAGCCCAAAAGGGAAGGCGCACGAAACTGCTTTCTGAGGTGCAAGGTAGGCATAGGGATCAATTGGGGTAAAATTAGAGTTTTTTTTTGGGTTTTTTTGGGATAATGGAGAAGAAAATCGAAACTTCTACATTATATAGGGATTATATAGGGGATATATTGGGTTTATATTGGGGTTATATGGGGACAATGGAAAAGAACATGGAAACTACTATATTGCGTGGGTAGCAGGATTCCACGTAGATCCGTTTAGCACTTGCGAAGGTAGCACCTTTGTCGAGTTGGCTTGGCTTTTGCTCATTTTAAGGTATACCCCTATATAATCCCTATACTATACTAGTTTTCATTTTTACTTTCCATTATACCCCTTGCCCACCAATCTAAACCCTAAACCCAACTCTGACCCATGAGGCATGACCCAGATGACGACGGGGAGGATGGACCCGTAATTCTCTGCTCGTGGTGTTCAAGGGATCTAGGGCTTCAGGATTCCAGGACTGCTGGGTATGTATAGGTACCCATTGGGGTAATATTAGGGTTATCTTGGGGCTAGATGGGGATAATCGAAAAGAAAATGGAAACTACTTTAATGCATCTTCAGCGCCGTTTTGATTGGGCTTCAGAAGCATTGGGTTCATCTATGGCTGGGCAAAATGCATCTTGTTTATGGGAGCTGCTCCCTGTTTGGTGTTTTTATATTGCCAGGCACATTTGAGACGTAATCAGGCTGTCTAAAAACTTGTCTAGCGTATCATTTATGATCCAGCCCTCGGATGTTGCTACATTGCTACATGCGCTGCTGGTGTGACCGATGCAGGCCTTCTATCTTCACCTCAAATCTAGAGACAGAAGTCTTCCCATCTGCTACTGATGTGGTTCTGAATACGGCATGTCGTTGTGTTGTGTTCAAGTTGATCGTTTACGCCTGATTGCAAACCCCAGCCAAAGGGGAGGCTTGTGCTAGGTGCAAAAGGCCCGCCATACTCCGTATCAGGATTGCACCCGGTAGAGGCTGCCCCTAAGAGCCTCAACCAATAGTTTTCTTGCAGATCCTCGTATACCCCTACATACTATTCAGTGATCCCTCAATAGGGAATGCCCCCTGCATGGAGGAGGAGGGTTCGCCGTCTTGAGTCTTAACAGAAGTTGAGCCTTTCATCAAGCGGTGCAGGAGGTGTACAGGGATAATACAGTGCCTGCGAAGAGGCCTTGTTGAAGGAAGAAATCCTTACATGTAAATATTTTCACTTCCGCTGCGTGGGAAAGCTACGCAGGGATGGTCCTTCCCCTCCAGCATGCCAGCTGAAAGCAGTTTGCTGCTGGAGCTGTGAAGAGCAAGTTGGCTACTCCCCCAGGCTCCATGGCAGATGCGGCCAGTAGGTTTAATGGTTATATTGGGGTTATACAGCGGTTATATGGGGATGATGGAAAGAAAATGGAACCTACTATTTATTGGGCGAGTTACCCATTGTACTTGTCCTGCATGCTGCCGCGGTGTCTGACGAAATCCGGAGCTTGCTGCTCAAAGGGGGGCCGACAAGGCTTCAAAAATGCCTGCGGCCTACAGAGCAGAGGTTCTTCAGTTTTAAGCGAGAGTGCTATGTCGGGAGCTTCAGGCGTGGGCTTGGGCATGGGCGAAAAGCGCCCTCGTTTGCCCAGCGTTTCTCCTCCGGACGACCTCCAATGACAGCGAATGACTTGCTGCACTTGCAGAATGAACAATCTGAGTTTACTGTAGGCTCCTCAGGCGAAGCACTTTCACTCTGGATGGTCATCACATGGCCTCATCAGACGCAAGGCAGCAAGCCTGCTCCCGCCAGGCATCTGAATAGCAGTTGCGATGGTTCTGCGCGGAAGAGAAATTGAATGCTGTCTTCTGCAACGCAGCAGGCATGATCAAAGGCTTTGTTGCGATCAGCAGGCAGGCAGTTGTTTCAAGAGAGTACCGGCTACTCGGGCTCAGAATCCCCATCTACTACCAGACCACAGCTAGGACGAGGCCTCACAAGGCTAATTTGAACAAGAACCGCTGAAACGAAGCATTTGCAAGTTGTAGCGTCAGCTTGTCAACACACGCGAGCACCGTGACCATGTGCAGCGCATGACACTTCGGGATTCTTGCGAGCCTTTAGCAAAGCAAACACTTGGGGGGTGGGCTTCAAAACAATAGCATGAACCATGGCAACTGAAGATGATTATCAGACAGCTAGACTTTGCGATATTTCTACGCGTGCAATACCCCAAGGATGGCACAGTTTCAGCGTATGTGTCACGGGTCACAACAGAAAGAAAGGGACCAGTCAGACGAATCTCACAGCATGCCAAGGTCATCCAGACCTGTAGCATTAAGAGACCGGAATGTTACGAAGGTTGTTAATAGCAATGGTACTAAGAGGATGTTCTAAAAGCTTCGAATTCAGGCCAGTCTCGAGCACATGCGCTGCTGTATTTCGCAGAGACCTTCTGCCTGAGCCAACCGCTGCGCCATATGGAATGCGCCTGGAGCTGCATGGATCTGCATGGACTGGATTTGCAGGTGGAGTTTCAGAAGTTATCCTGAACTTTGGGAACTTTTACATGTTTGCCATTGTCAGGCTTACAAGGGGCGAAATGAAAGCCATGCCCAGCAGAAATTCATGCCCCCACCTGCCCCAAAAGTAGTGCTGGGGCCCAGAACGTTTTGGGTTGAGCCAAGGCTAGAAAGCGTGCAAATCCTGCACCTTGCTAATCTGGGTGTCACCAAACCCAGGGTGCCCCCGTATTTCGGCCAAAAGATTTGCAGCGAGCCTAAAGCAAGGCGCACCTTGTAGCGTCGAAGCTGTGATCGTAATGTTGGCGATCTTGTCCATTGACAGCCACGTATATTTGCTTGTCGCAAATCCCTTCGATACCGTACCGGGTAAACATGCTGCCTAAGGGATGTGTGCGACATGACGGAGCTCATGGGCTACCTGGCCGTGCCCTCAGGTCTGCAGGGCTTTGCTGCGGGGACCCCTGCATTGGTAGCCTTGTGGCTTCTTGCATATGTTTTGCGCCGCAGGGAGGATGGGGCTAAGGCAGTCTCCATACGAATCCCTCACGCATAGGCAGTACAAACTCGCAGAGAATGCAATTGAGATGAGGCTGGCATGCTTTGCGGCATCTTCATTTGCAGCTGTGACGCTTGTCTTGTTGGGGTGCTGTTTTGCAGCTGACTTCCAGTAAACCGGGGTGGTGGTGCATCAGCAGACCTTGATGTGGTACAGGGAGATGTGCGTGTGTGGGTATGGTCATAGGGCGGGGCGAGGGTGATACGATTTGCAACGTAGGTTCTTGAAATCACATGGGGGTTGTGGGTCATTGTTTGTGAAATTCTGTCACGCGCGGCTACTGCCGCTACGGCCAGCTCGCCACCTGCAGCCTAATGGATGACAGTCGGCACATAGTAGGGGTGGGACGATCATCTATATAATCATCCCACAGAACATCCTCTGAAAAATCTTAGGCGCCGAAAGGCGTAGGGGTAGGGGTCTTTAGCGGCGGTTAGGCGCCGAAAGGCGTAGGGTTTTTTGGGCGCCAAAAGGTGTAGGGGTCTTCAGTGGTGTTTAGGCGCCGAAAGGCGTAGGGGTTTCTAGGCGCCGAAAGGCGTAGGGGTCTTTGGGAGTGTTTAGGCACCGAAAGGCATAGGGTTTTTGTGCCGAAAGGCCTAGGGGTTTTTGTTTTTAGGGTATGTGCGCACTGAAAGATGTAGGGAGCGGCCCTGTCTCCTGGTTCCTGCAACTCATCGTTCCTCTTCCCTTTGCGCCACCACGACCACCGCCACCGCCAACAGCGCCGCCGCCGCCGCCGCCGCCACTGCCACTGCCACTGCCACCGCCACCGCCACCGCCACCGCCACCGCCACTGCAACCGCCACCGCCACCGCCACCGCCACCGCCACCGCCACCGCCACTGCAACCGCCACCGCCACCGCCACCGCCACCGCCACCGCCACCGCCACCGCCACCGCCACCCCCACCACGACCACGAC